AAATTGTTTCAGGCTTGAGCAGATCAACTGATTGTGAATGGGACAGTGATGGTCCAATAGGTGTGGCAGATGTGTCTATGACTTCATTATTTGCAATTTTTTCTGTGTGTGTGTGTGTGTGTGTGTGTGTGTGTGTGTGTGTGTGTGTGTGTGTGTGTGTGGTGTGTGTGTGTGTGTGTGTGTGTGTGTGTAATTCTCTCTCTCTCTCACCCCCCATTGAGTTCTTTCATTTCATTCATTTTGCTCTATGTGTATGTCTGTGTACTCGCCTACTGTGTACTGTGTGCTTGTAGGGGTCATTCTTTTTTCAGGTGTAGGGCCTCATCTCTCCACCATCAATCCTCTAGTGTGTATGAGTGCATGTTTCTGCTTGTGTTTGTGTATACAGCTGCCCCAGTTGCAGCTACATGTGAACATACATGAAGTTGTGTATAGCCACAGGTTATATAGAGTGCATCTGCTGTTGAAAGAGATCATCAAAATCATTGTTGCCAACATCCCCCTCGCCCCCTCCAACCCTCCTCCTCCTCGCCACTTCCCAACAACCTGTGAACCACTAAAAACACACAGTGTTCAAATAAAACCTTTGTAGCATCAAAACTGCATCCACTCCCCCCCCCATAAAAAAAGTAAAATTGAAGCTTAAAAAAAGTTAAAAAAAAAGCTTGAAAAATACCGCAAACGTCCCGTAACGATGCAAACAGTTCAGCGCAAAAAATTGCTGATCAAAATCATTCAGTGGAAGTCAATTCCAGGTAAAACATGGGCGGAGGTGTCCCTAATAGTGAGAATATTTAGCGTTAGATCACTTCATTAAGAAGTACCATAGAGGGGGGGGGGAAAGAGAGAGAGAGAGAGAGAGAGAGAGAGAGAGAGAGAGAGAGAGAGAGAGAGAGAGAGAGAGAGAGAGAGAGAGAGAGAGAGAGAGAGAGAGAGAAGAAGAAGAAGAAGAAGAAGTGGGAGGACAATAAGGAGAAACCCTTTTTCTTAAAAAAATTAAACAATACAGTAAGATTATACATATATATGTTGTACCCAGTAGCCAGAACGCAATACTTGGCCTACTATGCAAAGCCCGATTTATCTAATAACCCAAGTTTTCCTGAATTTATATATTTTTCAATTTTTTTTCTTATGAAGTGATAAAGGTATCCATTTCATTATGTATGAGTTAATTTTCTTAAATTTGAGTTAAAACTAACATAGATATATATGTCCGACCCTAACCAACCTAACCTAACCTAACCTACCTTAACCTAACCTAAACTAACACAACTAAGTCAATAATGTATGTTCTTAATATAATATATTAATAATAATTCACTTAAACTATTTCGAAGTAATTTATTGAAAATAAAGAAAATCACTTGGCCTATTAGGCAAGTCGGGCCTTGTATAGTAGGCCGAGAAGTGCGTTCTGGCTACTAGGTACGACATATATATATATATATACCTAGAGCTAGAGGACCCTAGAGCTACCAGCTTTCTTTTCCAGCGCCTCAGCGTGGCGATACAGAGGGGAAATGCACACTGCACTCAGGGTTCCTGCCCGCCATCTGAGGAGCTGGAGGAACTCGACAACCTATGATAACCATCTTTGTACCCTACATGTAACTCCTTTTTTGTAACAAAGTTCAAATAAAACAAATATATATGTGTACATACAAAAGGATGGGGGTGGTAGGAGAAGTTAATATTAGTGTTCAGTGAGAAACCAAAAGGTCTTTTCTGAATACTTTTTATTTTCTTCTCCGAGGCTACGGGTCCCCACATTGGCACCAGAGCTGGTACTCTCACAAACTTTTTTGTAATAAATATATATATATATATATATATATATATATATATATATATATATATATATATTATATATATATATATATAATTTACTGAATACAAATTTCTGGTCTGAACTCTGTATATAATTATTGCAATTGAAATACCCTGATTTTCAGGTTGGTTTCTCTTGTGTTAAGACATTCATTATGTTATTTGCAGCTGAATTGCTCTCAAACGACGCTGCTCTATAGGCAATGATCTTACATAAACAGTAAATGTTCCGAGTTTTCCTTAAATAGAATGTTTTTCCGAGTAAATTTATATATATCTGCATCAATTAATGGAAATATCTGTCTATCTGCTCGAAGTTGAAGGCCACACGCTTATGGCTGCCTCGCCTAATTTTTTCCCAGTATTTGCTGTTGGGTATGTGCCCAACAAGGTAGGGTCGGGACTGGTATCAGAGAAAAGAGTGCAATGTGACTGTGCCACACTCACCCTAAAGATAAATCTCGGAATACCTTTATGATTTGACTCTAAATTATTATTATTGTTATATTTTATAGTTTTATGCAATGACCACAACAAAACCCTAAATAATGATTCAGTATTTACTGTGTTGTCCTTAGAATTTTGGATTGAGTGTTAATGTCGAGTGATCATCCTTAATATTCCGGCAGTGTGTTGAGTGTTCTTATAGTGTTACTAATGATACTGTAGAAAGAGAGAGAGAAAGGGAGAGAGAATGAAAGGTAAAAGTGAAATGGATACAGATGAGATGAAGATTAAGCCACCCAAGAGGTGGATGGGTGCATGAATAGCTCGTAATACATATGAGTTTGGGCAACCACAAATAACCAAAAAAGGGTTAAGGTGAAGTAAGGCACATGCACCAATAGGCCTTCTGCATTTCGTAAATTCCATGTCCAAATGAGGGCTTGGATATTGTGTGCCGGATATTATGTCTTGGTTTTGCAGATAGAAAGTACATAAGGGTGAGCTTGCGTTATTAGTTAGTTGAGATTGGTTGATATGTAGTTCTTGGCAGTGTATGATCTTCTATTTTCGTTATATATTTGTCGATTATTTCGGTGTTGTTGGTTAGGGTATATCTAGTGATGATCTTATAATGTGTAGAAATGATGTTCTAGGAAGGAGTCTTGATGTTCGTGCATTGTGGGGCACCTTGAAAGAGATGCTGTTGTCTTGCCTATATACTGAGATCACTGGGGCTGGCAGTCGCCAAGCGGGTATAAGAAGACACAAACGGTATTCGTGTCTTTCTAGGTGTTTCGCGGTGTTGGGAGAGGTCTTCATGAGCAAGGTGGCGATCATTTAGCTCTTATAGTATATTACTAACTCGATCTTCCGGTTGGTTTCGTTAGGGGTATCCATTTCTTTCAATAACGTCTTTCTCCTGAAAGACGTTATTGAAAGAAAATATTCTTATAAATAGAAAGAAAATACTCTTTCCTCCATTTTGTGAGCTGTGTAAAAGAACCTTCGGTAGAATAGTTTAATAGAAGGGACAGATAATATAGTGTTGACAGTTTCTTCTGAGGTTACATGGCGGTTCAATTTCATTTTAATGATTTCTTCGACATATTCCTGAAAGTATCAGTTATTGACGCTGATGGGTTCCTCAACAGCCTGCTTCCGACTGGCACTGGGCGTGAGGGCGTGGTTGACATAGACGTCAACATACTCTTGTGTCTATCAGGACACTCACTACAACCATTAAGGCACAGTGTAGCTTGGACCCATGAGCTGGGATCGCAGTATGAAAGTCATCATTCCTTTCCGAGTTTATTACGTCTAGGAAAGACAACTTAGTCATATTTTCAGTCTTAACCCCTTCTACTCCCTCTTCCCTCCTTCTCCCTCTCTCTTCCCCTCTTCTCCTGTACCCCCCTTTTCCCTCCCCATTCTTTCCTATATCACTAATCATTCCTGTATTGGTTCCCTTAGTCTGAGTGAGGTTGGTGGTTCAGGACGGTCTCATTCTGCAGTCCTTCGTGCATTAATTTGATTGATTTCAAGAAGATTCATTTAAAATATGTGTACATTTTTCCACTCACCGTTCTTGTCTCAGCTGAGACTGTGATCTTTACGCTGCCTTCGCTACTTTACCCATTGTTCGGTCCAGGTAACTAAGATGTAAGTACTGCATTGCGTAAGTACAATGCAGTACTTGGGAAAATGGGAAATAAATCAAATTCTTCTCACGAATATATTTTTTGTCTCATTAACCTCATTTAACGTCAAATATGACGCTCAAGATGTTAAAAAATAAAAAATTGCGTAAGCACTTTTTTTTCTCTATTATTGGCTGGTAAACGAAATATTGACATACATGAAAGAGAATTATCAAAGGGTTAAGAACACTGGAACAAGCTCTTGTTTGCGCTCAAAATTCCCGGATGAAGTCGAACATAGTATACACAAACGTCATTATTTCTGCTCCACTTTCATGCGTCGGGTTCGGTTTGCTGCTGGAATATTATTGGTAAACAAACACTAACTCATAATATATTCTTGTCCTACGGTGCTGGCACCGCCTTTACGCGCTTTGATATAAACGTGTTCCAAGAAAGATGTTTTAAACTTGTGACTGCTGAAGTATGCAACCGGAGGGATATGTACACTGAGAGGTGTACCCCATTTCTCCATGTGTGTATACTCTGAGTTTACTTTAGTCTGGGCTATGTACAGGGCTAAATTATGCCTGCTGGTTGGTCATCTTTTCCGCTCATATTCCAGCCCGGATCATGAGCCTTTGGTTGGCTCGATACAGATGAAGCTCCATTGGTTAGGAAGGATCATTGGTTAGGAAGGATTTGGTTAGGAAGGACCTCGATATGTCTGATACATATCCTATTCTCGATAACAGGAAACCAAATGGTATTATATTATGAGTAAGTATATATATATATATACTTATACGTATATGTGTTTTATATTGCGTTCTAGATTTCAGGTTTTGAAAAAAGTCACCTTTTCCTTAAAATATAATGCTAAACGTAGCGAAGAGTTTCAGATCTCGAGAAGAACTATTACCAAAACATTGAAAATGATCTTCACTGCACTTTTTCGCCAATTTCAAACGAAAAGGAGAGCCAACAGTCAGGCCAAGATAACAGAGTAGTAGTGATTAATATGGTTGTACATACTCAAAATAACGGCCATCTATTCACCATATCTTCAACACTGAACCTCATCAGGAAGATCCTGCATCATCATTGAACATCATCACAGAGACCCAGCCCTCACACTCACAGCATCACAGAGACCCAGCCCTCACACTCACAGCATCACAGAGACCCAGCCCTCACACTCACAGCATCACAGAGACTCAGCCCTCACACTCACAGCATCACAGAGACCCAGCCCTCACACTCACAGCATCACAGAGACCCAGCCCTCACACTCACAGCATCACAGAGACCCAGCCCTCACACTCACAGCATCACAGAGACCCAGCCCTCACACACACAGCATCACAGAGACCCAGCCTTCACACTCACAGCATCACAGAGACCCAGCCCTCACACTCACAGCATCACAGAGACCCAGCCCTCACACTCACAGCATCACAGAGACCCAGCCCTCACACTCACAGCATCACAGAGACCCAGCCCTCACACTCACAGCATCACGGAGACCCAGCCCTCACACTCACAGCATCACAGAGAACCGGCACCTCAATATTCATCAAATCATCTACATGACAAATCTTCCTT